TCTCTATTGCTGGCCATTCTCTTAGCAATTCTCCCTGAACACAGCTGAGATTTTTCTCTTCTCTGTTCCAGACAGGAAGGCACAATTAACTCTTCCTCAGCCTGGTCCATTAAAGCATGGTGTAAAGATCCCTTACCTACTTGGCTATCTTGGCAGGGCCCAGAAAGCAGGCTGGGTGGTTTCAGTTAGGAAAGGCCTGGCAGTAAGTTGTTGGAGCCATTTTGGAGCAGGGAAAAACTCCAAGCCAGTAGGGGGAGTGGCTGAAGCCTGGGCCAGCCCAGCAACAGCAGGGATTGGTTTAAAGGTTAGGGGCGGAGATAGTGACTTGGAGGGAAAAGGAGAGAAGAGATAACTTTAGTTTAGTTCAGCTCAGGGAGTTAGAGAGTTCAGTTCTGTTAGTGAGTAGTGCAGCTTAGTTCTGAAGAAGAGAATAGAGAATAGAATTGCAGTTGTTAGAAGTCTCTGTGTAATATAGGCAGATTGCCTAGGGTCTGTACAGTACTGTTAGCTGTGACAGACTGGTGTCAGCTATTTCTGAAGAATATAGAATAGCTGGGTGTTTATATTTTGAGTAACTGTAACAAAGATAGACCATTTCTCTCACGAAACCATTACGATTCAAGCAGCAAGAACACTTTCTCTGTAACCATTCAAGCTTCTGTACCAGCATTCTGCTTGTTAAAGATAACTTGTAAACAATAAACTCTTTCTTATTCTTTTTAAACCAAAAAGCCTGTCTCAAGCACCATTATTTTGGTTTTGAGTCCCTTTCTTAGTGCAAACAGCCTCTCCTGTTTTTCCCCTTGAGAAAGCCCTTGTTTCTATTCTGAATGGTGGAGTAAAAAAGCCTTTTGACTAGTTTTAAAGCAACCTGATACCCTTAATAGCACCTAAGAGGGTTTGTGATTTATTTAATCTGGTGGCAGCGAAGATATTTGGTTTGGTCAGCGTGACACCTCTCCTCGGACCATATTAGACTCGAAGTGGGGATTTTGAATTCCTTTATTTCTTGTTTAAGGACCAGTGTGGTGGGATATTGGTTTATCGCCCCTACCTCACGAAGGGTCCTTATACATGGGTCCTCAAACTAAGGCTCGAGGGCCGAATATGGCCCTCCAAGGTCATTTACCTAGCCCTTGCTCAGCGTCAACCTAAGTCAGAAACGATTTGAAAGCACACAACAACAACAATCCTATCTCATCAGCCAGAAGCAGACCCACACTTCCCATTGAAATACTATTAATTTTATATTTGTTAAAATTGTTCTTCATTTTAATTATTGTATTGTTTTTAAGGGTTTTTTGCACTACAAATAAGATATGTGCAGTGTGCATAGGAATTCATTTTTTTTTCTTCAAATTATAATCCAGCCCTCCAACAGTTTGTGGGACTGTGACCTGGCCCTCTGTTTAAAAAGTTTGAGGACCCCTGCATTAAAGTCTGGCCAGCAATCTCAATAGTTGTTGCTTCTGGGTGTTGCTGAGGTAGTTGATGTTATTGCCTGGGCTGGAGTTATGTGTTTCTCAAACTCTGCTTGTTCCGTCTCCCAGGAACCTGGTTTACTTTACCTTTTTAGTTGCTTAGAGTGTCTTCCCCTTGCATTCATCTCAGAGCTGCTGCAGCTTTGCAAGCCCTAAAAGGCTAGCAGTTTCAAAGACAGGAAAACCAATCTGCAGACTCTTTGCATCTATTGGCCTAGAGAGCAGCTCTTTGAACCCGCCCTTTCTCCCAGGGAGGGAATCTCCATTTTGGAGTTTCCCCTGCCTCTTCAGTCTAGAGCAGCGGTCGGGAACCTTTGGCTCTCCAGGTGTGGTGGACTTCAACTCCCACAATGCCTTGAGGCTCGGCACTAGCGGCCGGGGCCGAAGCGGCGAGGAGGCGTGTTGCCCGCAGGGGTTTCCGCCCGCTCTCTCCCTCCGAGGCCAGCCTTTGCTGCCCGTCCTCCATGAAAAAGAGCCTCTTTTTCATGGAGGACGGGCAGCAAAGGCTGGCCTCGGAGGGAGAGAGCGGGCGGAAACCCCTGCGGGCAACGCGCCTCCTCGCCGCTTCGGCCCCGCCCGCTAGTGCCGAGCCTCAAGGCATTGTGGGAGTTGAAGTCCACCACACCTGGAGAGCCATAGGTTCCCGACCGCTGGTCTAGAGGAAGAATTCAGATGTGCTGTGGCCAAACCAGGATAGCTCTGAGAAAACCATTGCAAGTACTAAATTCTACTAAATTAAATTAAATTAAATTCTACTAAATTAAATTGAGATAGAAAGATAAATTGAGTTTATAGAGAAATTATAGATAGATAGATCAATAGAGAAGCTATTGAGATAGTGTTGAGTATTGAGTTTATTGAGAAAGAACTATTGAGTTAGATAGATAGTATTGAACATTTGCCTCCAAGGCTAACTCTGAACTATAGATAGGGAAAAAAGACCTGCTTTTTTCTAACCATAGGGGCTCAGAGTTAGAGTAAAGGGATTCCAGAATTTTCCCTTTTTTTACCTTTTGGAGCAAGATTACCTCAATATTTGAATGCAAGAAAGCTCATCTCTATGCTTTACCAATTGCCTGTTTGTAATGTTGATAAGCTGTGCCTAGTCTACAAGGACTTTGTAAATAAATACTCAGTTTGCTGTTCCATACCTGCAATAGACTCAGTTACTCAGAAAGTTTGAGCCTCTAAAGCAGGGCCGTAGCCAGAAAAAGATTTCGGGGAGGGTTGACAATTTCGGGGGGGGGGGTTTGAAAATTTCAGGGAGGGTTGAAAATTTTGGGGGGGGGGGGTTGAAACCTGCCTCCTAGCTCACGCTGAAGCAAAGAGCACAGCAAGGGGCAGAGCAACCTTCCATAGCCTGCAGCTCCACCCCTGTCAACCACCTCCACCAAGTCTGGCCTCCTTAATGAGAGCATTCAACACCCCCCCTCCCCAACTTGGTTGCTCACTACATCGGCTATTGCTGCAAGTAACGACAGTGTGAATAAATTGTCAATATTTGCTTGAGATAGTGCTTGCAGTTCTGGAGGGACTCTTAATTTTTTGCATCTCATAGACTTAGCATGGGGATTTGGTTAACCAGTTAAAATTCATGAGTAACCAGGTTTTTTTTAAAAAAATCTGAAACATTTCGGGGGGGGTTGAACCCCTAAAACCACCCCCTCGCTACAGGCCTGCTCTAAAGTAAGATGCCAGTGGTCCGCTGAGTCAAAGAGAGCGGCACATCTCAGTTTTATTTTTTAAGGCGTCTGGGTGTGATGGCACACTTCTTCTCCAGGGGTTTTGAACTTCAGCTTCCAGAAACCCCAACCACCTTACTAGCTGTTAGGAATTGTGAGAGCTGAAGTCCAAAACATCTGGAGGAGCAGAATTTAGTTCAACAACCAACTCTTCATCTTCACTATCGATGACAAATGTGTGCCTTGTTGCACAGCAAGCAGATCTTAGCCACGTCCCATCCACCAGACACACAGACAAGAGTAGAAATGAACAGAAAAATCTTTTTTCTTAATAGCAGAGATGAAACACAAAACTTGCAATGTTGCATACAAAAACAAACAGTACAAGAAACTTACATAGTCTTTGTAAGTAACACAAAACAAGGCATCTTCATCTTAAGCCAAATGAGAAAGCAAAACATAAACCTTGAGCAAATTCCACCATAGCCTCCTTTAGAGCAGCATAACGGCTTCTCTCCAACCTGCTCCTCAGAGCAGAGCCTTTGAGCATAGACCTCTGTTGGGAATCAAGAGCTGTTAGGCTCAAAAATAACCCTCTCTGGGGGTGATTCCACCAAAAATAGAGCAGAGTACATAAGCAGCAGAAGCTTACATGTAGTGAGCAAGGATTGATTTCCATTCAACAGGATGGAACAGGATTGCAGATCCACAACTCATAGGATCAAAAACAATATGTTTATTAAAGATAAAAGAAATCCATTCTAGATAGGAAAGGTTCTTGGAGCTTACTAGCTTCACTGAGCTATCTTCTAAAGAAAAAGAAAAAGAAAGCAAAAAATAATAAAAGTAACTATATCGACTACATGTTTGCCTTAGACAATGGCAAGATGCTTCCTCACTCTAGAGAAGGCAAAAGGAGAAGAGACCAGAAAATGGAGACAAGCCACATGGCCAGCCCAAGGCAACCAAAATATCTTTAAAAGAGGAAGTTACGTTTCCCTATAGCATTGGTTCTCAACCTGTGGGTCCCCAGGTGTTTTGGCCTACAACTCCCAGAAATCCCAGCCAGTTTACCGGCTGTTAGGATTTCTGGGAGTTGAAGGCCAAAACATCTGGGGAACCACAGGTTGAGAACCACTGCCCTATAGGATTACATTCCTAGGTATTCAAATGGGGAGGAGATAGTGCCATGCAAAGATCAGTAAGACAACCCCCCTTCTTAACCCCTTCTTAAAACAAACTAGCTAAAGGAAATTGGGGAGGAATCCCTCGGTCTATCTAAATACTCATCCCTTGGTCTATCTAAATACTCATTGAGAGCTGGAGACTTGTGCAGTCAGGGATGAAACCCAATAATTTCCTCAGAGAAAAAGCTCCCCAGAACTGTATTCTAAAAACCCATACAGTTATATCCTATCTGGTGTGTCCAAGATTGCTGGTTGACCTACATTACCAGCTGCACATAATAATGACCATCATAAGGTTTTTCTTCAACACACACACACACACACACACACTTGGTCCTGCTACAACTTACTGTAACATGTCCTAATTTTTGTGATGTAATTTAGTTAAAAAAAAGTGTGCATTACACTTAAGTAAATATGGTAGTTCCTGGTGTGCAGTTAAGAGAGCAGGCCAGGCTGATTTGGCATGACCAATCAGACAGCACATTTGTCCCATCTACAGATGAGTGGAACAAATACGTAATCCGCACTTGCTTCAGTTGCTGTAAGCCTGTACCCCAGTTCTGGGAGCAAAGTAGGATGTATTTAAAAAATGCTAACAAATATTGAGACAATAATGACATTATGCACTTGCTTCTCTTTTGCTACAGCCTGTGAATCGATAGCCGACACGGTATTCAGAACCATCAGGACTCTGGGTTGCCGTCCATTCATGAACAGCCAAAGAAGTGCCTGCATTTGCAACGAAGAAGAACGAGATGAATTGTGAGGTGAGCGCCAGGCTCCCTGACAGTGACAGCTCTGGATTTGCGTGGCCCTTGGTTAGAAGCTTTGTCTTCTGTCCTCAAACCAGGAGCAATTTTGACAACAGCAAGGTTCAAGGTGTGGTTGATTGCTACCAGAAATGTATTAATTGCAGTTTCTGCAGTAAACTAGATTGAGACTGGAATGGAAAGTGGGAAGGCACCCTGTCTGTTCTATTTGATGGCTTCTACTACCTTCTTAAAGCAAACTGGTCGACTTAATGCCAACTCTCCACAGAGACTGAGATCTGCATGAGCTTTGCAATCACAACAAAAGAGACAGGCCTTGTGCATTGACAGAGTTGATAATAATCTCTACAACAAGTACAGCCAGCCCTCGGTTTTCCACAGATTCTGCATCCATGCATTCTACTATCCTTGGCTTGAAAGCAAATTCTATAAAGCAAACCTTAATTTTGACATTTTAAATATACCACAATGGAATTTGAGCATCCACAGATTTTGGTATCCATGGGGGATCTTGGAACCAAACCCTAGCAGTTATCAAGGGCCCAGACTTCATGCCCCGTAGACCTTCCAGTTTCACCAGGGACATATCTCTGCTTTAGTGTCCACCTGACATTAATAGAAAAGCAATTTGGGATCACAGGGCTGCTCAACAGCACATAGAAAGGGAAGTTTGGGGTGATTTACCTTTTCAGAAAAAAAGGAAGAGAAAGTAAACTCTCTGTATTAGACTTGGAATGGTCATTGATTTTATTTCCACAAAAACATAAAACCACTTAAAGAAATCACATGATGTACCCCTAAAAACAGTAAGACAGAAAGAATCAAGGTTATTCTGTTTGTGTGTCATGTTTAACATGCAGGCATTGTGAAACTAATTTTTATTTAATAATAATAATAATGATAATAATAATAATAATAATAATAATATAGTTCAAATAGCATTAGAGATTGCCAATAACATTTTTGAAGGTCAATTCTAGCTACTTAGAATTACTATTATTTTACAACTTCAGGTGGTCTAACTATATATATTTTTAAAATGACTATTCATCCAAAATGTATCCCCTAGACATTGCAGATTACTGTTTTTGTACATTTGCTTTTTATCAAACTATCAGTTGGCCTGAACTGAAACATCACTATTTTGCCTATTTTGATGGTAATTTTTTTTCAAAAGACCCAAAACTCATTTTCAAAGCATAACCTGCTGCATCTCAACCTCGTTGCTGAACTCTAGATTTTCTAAAACTTTGAAATTCATATTGAATTGCAGTAACAATGCTTGCATTATCGGAATATACTACAGTCCGACCCCTATATCGGTGGGGATATATTCCTGTACTTACTGTGAATCGGTGAAACTACAGATAATAGTCAATAGTGTAGTTTGCACAGTGGCATTAAACTTGACAGAACATAAAAATCTAAGTGATTAAAGGTACTAACACATATATTTCTCAACTATAAATTTAATTTACATTCCATTCCATTTGATTTTTGGGACCATTTCCTAGTGTGGGTAACTAAAACTGAGGATATTGAGTCCATCAATACAGTAGTAGTAGTGTATTACATGATACTTGCCTTCCATCTTTGGTTCTTTCCCATGAGTCCACAACTAAAGCACATTTCTCCGTTTCCTCCAATCTGGCACAATCCATGGTATGGTACATGTGCTTTCTACCAACACATGTCATACATATTAATGTATAAGGTGATCCTGTGTATAACTCACGGGCAGAGCTTGAGACCAAAATCATAGATATTGATATGATCTATGGATAGGATGAGGGTCTTTCTGCAGAGACAGAAAAGCACTAATGCCTTCTCAGGGGAGTCAGCTGCCTTGCTATTTCTCCACCCAGGTATGAATAAAAGCCAGAAATGGCATCATGGGAGAGAGAGTAGAAGGGGGCAGAATGGACTAAGCTCTTACTTTTCCCACTCTATTTGGAGAAGGGGATGGCTATACTCATACTGACCTGTGGATATGTTGTCCCAGGTTTTTTTTTGGGGGGGGGGGGGGGGTTGACTAAAGACTTGCATGTGCCATTTTCTCACTATAACCATGGTCTTCTCACTACATCTCACTATAACCATCAGCACATGCTTCCAAACAACTTTTCGCTTTCAAGTGCAGATGCTATATACTTCGTGCACTCTGTACACATCTTGCATCAGCGCTGAGAAAGAGTCCAACAAGACTTTAGACTTGCATCTCTTCTCTTCTCAAGGATCCTTCAAAATGCACAAGGACATCGTATATAGTATATATTTGGGACTGTGCTGGCAGATTCCCAAATTCACCTTCATACTACTGAATTAAAAAAAACTCCCTTAGAGGGAAGAAGGACTAAATGTCACAGTTTCCTCTTCAGTACATCCAGTAACTCATGCTCTTTCTGTTGGCTTCAGTGGTTATGCAGCCATCTTTTACAGGCAAAGTGAAGTCAGCCATGGCGAGATCTGGATATATACATGTCAATGTGATGTTATAGAAAGTTTCAGCATTTCTCTGGATTGTCAGTTACTGTGCCCTAGCTCACCTCACTCTTGGAAGATGTCTTTGGGAGGTCCAACCTTGCCATCTAATAAAATACAGAAAATTGAATAAAGGAAGCTTTTAAGATGCTCAATCTGTATGTTGCATGGTAGTCCTACAGATGTCCTTGAACTTTATTTCATTTCTCCCAGTCATCTTGGACAATGGTGAAGCATCTGGAAGACCACAATTTTTCTAGCTCGAGTAACTGCTATTAGTGTCTCTGCTTTAACTGGTAAGGCTACATCCTATGGAATACTGGGATATGAAGTTTTGAGAGACACTACAGCTCCCTGGAGAGCCAGTGCGGTGTAGTGGTTTATGCCAAATCTCCCCATGAACAAACCTTACAGAGAAAACCCTTCGTTGGGGAACTGCATCTCCCCTTCCCAGGGTGTTTATGCCCCACTTTGTGCTAGTCATGGATTGTTATAAAGGATGGTAAATTAATACTGAAATCTTTAGAGGAGATAAAACAATTGAATAAAAAAATCACGTGGCTGAGTTACTTCCAAATACATCAGGAATTCAAAGAAGACAAAAAACTCAGGTTTTTTGTCAAGATCAAGGGTTCTGGGGAGCAATCATGAAAAGAAAACTAATTAAGATTACACTGTTCAACGGAGAAAACGTTTCGGGCCTGAAAATAGTTGTTCTTTTATGATTTTGGGGTGCTGAAAACGAAAATGACATTTAAAAATGTATATTGGCTCTAGTTTTTATGATATAGGCAATCACGTGATCACGTATGGTTGAAAAAATGCATGTTGCGACTTACACTATGGAAGATTCTAGAATATTCTAGAAAGTTTGATGACGCAGTATTAGTGCCGTGTGCAAAACGAAAATGACATTTAAAAATGTATATTGGCTCTAGTTTTTATGATATAAGCAATCACGTGATCACGTATGGTTGAAAAAAATGCATGTTGCGACTTACACTATGGAAGATTCTAGAATATCTCTAGAAAGTTTGATGACGCAGTATTAGTGCCGTGTGCAAAAGCCAGAAAGCCCTATATAAGGCCAGACTTTTGAACGGTGAGGGTCAGTCAGTTGAAGACTGAGACAGTATCGTTAAACATTGTTTTACATTGTTCTTTTTACTGTAGTTATGCCTCGCACGTGTGTAAATAAAGCACTATGGAAAAAAGATATCAAGGTAAATGGACTCCGTCAATGCTGTCAGACTACTGCTGGAGCATTGTAAGAGACAATCCTTTCCTTGAATACAAAAGAAAAGTCAAGAGAAGCAAACAGGATATAAACTAAAGTCACGATTAAAGCGACATTTAAACTTTCAGACTTTTCAACTGCATTAGGCCTACTAATATAGTTTCTTGCTGCACAAACATAAACAATAGACGAATTAAATAAATATTTCTCATGTATAAACTATTGGCAATATAATTTGACTAAAATTTAGTAAATATTCACGGTTTATATACATGCAGTAAGGTTAGGCTCATTATCATAATATTAGCGAATTACCTATTGTGGAGAAAATTGAAATAGCTGTTGCATAAAAACCAGAGCCAATTAACACATTTAATTATTATATTTGAATTCAGCATGTTAAATTTATTAAGAAATGGCACATTTCGTTTCCGTAACTGAGAAAAACTGAAAATTTGTAGAACAGTGTTATATATCAACAATTATTATTATGGGCCACCGAAGAAGAACAGATAAAAAATTGCCAGGTGAAATGGGCAAAAGATATAGGTCAGAACATCTTAACAAACCAGTGGGAAGAAATCTGGAATATTAAAATAAAATATACAGTAACTAGTGATCTGCGGGAAAACTGGTATAAGATGTTCTTCAGATGGCACTATACACCAGAAAAAATGGCCAAATTTAACAAAAACATTTCAAGCAGCTGCTGGAAATGCGGGAAGGAGATAGGAACTTTCTATCATCAATGGTGGTCATGCAAACGAATAAGAAAATATTGGAAAGAGATACATTGAGCAACTAAAAAAATCTTAAAAATCAGCTTTCCACAGAGACCAGAAACGTACTTATTGGGCATATCAAACACAATGCTGGACAAAAACCAAGACAAAATGCTCTTCCTGATCAGTACAGCGGCAAGAATACTCCTTGCCAGAATATGGAAACAAAAAGAAATCCCAAGTCTGGAAGATTGGATAATAAGAGTTTTTGACATAATTCAAATTGACTGCCTTTCACAAAGACTAAATGGAACATACAAAAGGACAAATTGGTCAGGCTTTAAAGACTTTGTTAGAACTAGGGAAATTCCTTTACTGATAGATTTGTCCTGCTTCTGAAACAAGAAATCAAAGGAAGCTATGTCGGCAGAAGCAACGAATGATTACTTATTTTATTTTATTTTATGATAAACAAAAATGTAAAGACTCTCAGAAGACTTTGGGAAGTAGCACTATGAACTCACAAGGACTGTGTGTGTTCTACTTTTTTCTTTTAAATTATCCCTCTCTTTTTTCTCTCTCTACTCCTGTCTTCCTCTCTCTCCCTCCCCCTCTAACCCTTATACTCCTCTTACCTTTTGTCTCCCACATATTATGCTTTCTGGGTTTATGGTTTTTGGTTTTTCACTTTTTGATGTATATATTCACAAAACTCAATAAAAAAATAAAGTTTGTTGTTGTTGACAGCCCTGCGATATGTTTACTTTAGAGTCAACACAAGTTGCACAAAAACCGAAAGTTGTACAACAAAAGCTCTCTGACAGACAATCCTAACTACATAAGAAAACTACAGATTCCAGAATAGTATAGGATGCAGCCATGACCATTAAAGCAGTATCAAAGTATGACTAGTCTTCAGCACAAGAGGTACCACCAATATCCCTCATCTCAGGGTAGAATTGTTAATCTCAGAACTCTCTATTTATATGAAGATTTGATTACCTATGTATTCTGGATGTTCTTTAAATAAATCAGTTTTACTACTGAATAATTAAATACTGCTGAAACCATCCAATAACATTGTTCCCCCTTCCCAGGGTGCTTGTCCTGATCAGTGACCATAATAAAGTTTTGTATTGTAATAGCATTTGAATGTAGACTGTATCCCTTTTGACCTCAACGAAGTCAGTAGGAGAAGCAAATCACAATAATTTCATAAGTTTGGCAATCTGTGAATGTTGCTCATCATTAAATGGAGACTAGTAGGAGTAAGTGTCTATGTGACAGTGTGTTCACACGACGGATCTACTCCTCCATGTCAATTCTAATGGGCCCCCCTGTCAGGATGTGATTTGCCAAGCGACCAGATTCTTCTGTCTCAGACCATCTGCGCATCCGTCTGCGGCACCCCTGTGCACACCGAGACCTCTCGTCCGTCACTCCACATACCAGGACATGGCAGTGCAAGAATACTTCCTGTATATAAAAACAAACCAACGTACAGATTAAGTATTACAGACATCAACTCTGTTGTGCATTTCCTATTTGATTTTGTAGATGTAAATGCTGGGATTCAGTAGTTAAAATGAACAATTCATGCTGATGAGGGGAAAAGGAGAGGAGGGCCAGACTGCATTAGGCAAAATGAAGTGACAACTGCTTATTCTGCGTTCCCCAGGCCAGGAAAATACTGTGCCTGATTAAGATTAAACTCCTTGGGGATGGGGCACCATCTTTTTTGTTGCTTCAGGATGCAGAATGTTTCAAGCTGGTCCTTAAGTCAGAGACAGTAGCAAGAATCCCATTTTAGTTTTCTTCCATGTGGTCCATAAGCTTCTGATGAGACGACGTATTCTATTCTGGACACCAAATCTAGGGAGCCAGACTCCTCTACTTGGACCTTGGCACACTATGAAGCATTCCACTTTGGCTTCTTGTAATGGTCCAAAGAACATTTTGGCACTTCCTTCTGTGTATTTTTCCCAGTGATGAATAACTAGCTTGACAAGGCAACACTGATATGATGTGGATCGGGTGTATATCTGGCAAGAATCATTTTCAAAACTGAGAGGCTTATTTCAATATATATACAGTCGGCCCTCCACATTTGTGGGTTTCCATTTCGTGAATTTGATTATTCACAGACTTGAGTAATATGTATGTTCTCTCTAGAAATTCCTGTATATTTTTTTAAAACTGCTTTTTATCTGAGAATGCATTCTCTAGAGTTCTAGGTCCTCCAATATGACATGACAGAATGCTTCCAGCAGAGGTTGATGACAGAATTGCATTGAAGGACCTTCAAATACCTAAAGAAGTGTTCTCCATAGAAATCTCTAGCTCCTCCAGAGCAAACGTGCAGTTAAATTCTGGCAGACATTAACCATGAAGTCAAGCTGGAGAACCTAGATTTTCCACTTTTGTGGGGGCCCTTTGTCCCTTGTTGTTGTTGTTCGTTCTTTGTGACCTCATGGACCATCCCACGCCAGAGCGCCCTGTCGGCCGTCACCTCCCCAGCTCCTTCAGAGTCAAGCCAATTACTTCAAGGATACCATCCATCCATCTTGCCATTGGTTGGCCCCTCTTCCTTTTTCCTTCCATTTTCCCCAGCATAATTGTCTTCTCCAAGCTTTCCTGTCTTCTCATGATGTGGCCAAAGTACCTCATCTTTGCCTCTGATATCCTTCCCTTTAATGAGCAGCCGGGCTTTATTTCCTGAAGTATGGACTGGTTGGATCTTCTCGCGATCCAAGGCACTCTCAGAACTTTCCTCCAACACCACAGTCCCTTTCTCCCTAACCCTGTCAAAAGGGAGGGTCTACTGTATTCAACATTCATGTAAGACCTTTCCCTCACTAGAAGTGAAGTTTCACTGGAAAAATACAACCAGACCACGCTTTGATCAAGGCAACTTAAAATCAAAAATTGTACAGAGGTTTTAAAACAGCAACCATCTTACTCATTTTTAAGGGTGGCATCTATCAGTTGCGTAGACTGCACATCTCGAGTTTCTATACTTCAGGACAAATTGTGCTTAGCAAAACTGTTTTCTCTTTTCCCATTTGAATAAGAGCAAGGCATCTACACTGACCATTTCATGTTGTTTCAAACGAGTATTGAAGGAAGTGATTTTGCTGGGCAGATGATTACATATGGAATCCTGGAACCAGTTTGAGGCCTGGATGGTGATTACACAAACCACAGAGCATTGGTGCGCATTCAGGCTTTCCTTTGTGTGCTTTTGTGGGAGCTTGTTGTTTGGTCACTGCAGTTTAAAGCTAACTTTAAATTGCATTAAATGGTCAGCATAGACGGAGCCTCAGGACTTCATCATGCATGTCTTTGACAGTGTTGTAGGATGTTTTCGTCCCAGTTGATCCACGGAGCTCCAAGCCACCCATCACATGACTCACATTCACTTCTGGCAGGGCTCTGTGGATCAACTGGAGTGAAAGCATCCTATGGTCCTACGAGGATTGCCCCCCTCCCATCCCGTCGATTTGCCACAGAGGTTGGCAAATCACCCCGCTTGACCTCATTTATTTATTTCAAATATTTGTACTCCACCCTTCTCAACCCCCCCCCCCACCTGGGGGGGGGGACACGACTCAGGGCAGCTTATAGCCGGCAACGATTCAATGCCCCATACACACATAATGAAATACATAATAAAATCCAATAATTACATACAGATAAAAACATTAAATCAATTCAATCAAAATCTATTAAAAAATATTACAGCCTGGTGGCCTTATCTAAGCCGAATTCTGTGGCCAGGGACTCCATCAAAGCTTGTCCATTTTCCATTTCCATAACGATTGTCATCATTGCCATTGTCATTGTCAGCGTGCTACCTGAGGGCTAGTCCCACAACCACGTTTTCAACTTCATTCTGAAGGAAAGGAGGGACATAGATAACCTAATTTCGCCGGAGAGTGAATTCCACAGGTGGGGGCCACCACCGAGAAGGCCCAGCCAAGTGCATTTGCGACAGAGATGGGGTCGAGAGCAGGGCCTCCCCAGAAGATCTTAAACTCCGAGGTGGGACGTAGATGGAGATATGTTTGGACAAGTACACTGGCCCAGAACCATATAGGCTTTTATAGGTCAAGGCCAGCACTTTGAATTGTGCTCAGAACTGGACCGGCAGCCAGTGGAGCTGACATAACAGTGATATCTGTTAACGAGGAAAAACAGACAAGGGACTGGTTTGTGCCCAACTCCACTGGGAAAGGCAAGACTGCCCTGTGCTTTCCGTCCACTGAGTTCAATTTGCCACAATGGAAATAAGGCCAGAAGAAGGAAGGGAAGTGGGAGGAGGAGAAAGAAAACAGAATATTTTAAGAACAGCTAAAAAAAGTAGGACAATAGAGGATTAATCAGGACAGTTCTTGTCATACTGGTATGCGTCACAAAGCTTTGCTACCACATGACATAATGTCACAATACAAAATTTTCCCAAGGAGTCAGTTCACACAATTATGGGAAATAGTGTGGTGTGCATGCAGGTATAGTTCGCTCTTAAATAGTATATTCTACTGTCTGAAAAACAAGGATAGGATCAAGAGTATGTGACAAACCACAAGAGTAGTGAGAGCAGCTATTATTGCTTGTTGTTGTTGTTGTTGTTGTGTGCCCTCATGCAGTTTTCGACTTGGCAACCCTAAGGTGAACAATCACTGGAATTTTCTGGGGCCGAAAGAGTATGCCAAGTGGGTTTCCATACAGGCGAGTGGGAAATTGAATCCTGGTCTCCAGAGCTGTAGTCCAGTGCTTAAGCCCTTACAATAGCTCCTTGTTGTGATACCTAGTCTCTGAAATTTCTTCTGGTGGCATCTTTCAAAAACCTTTTAAAAAATACAAATATCCCCCAGGATTTTTAATGTTGTATGATACCATTTTAACTCATACTATTTTTTTGTTGTATTTCATGTTAATTGCTATAACTCATTGTTTTGGGGGTAGTTTAATCATTTCCTTGGATTCTTCTCTGAGATCATTGCTAAAGAGCAATCTATACAGATTTTAAATTAATAGATAAAAATTAAGAGGATCCAGAAGTGAAGAGAAATGGGCAACTGGACAACAGGAAAATGAAAGGAAGAACAGTATAAACAATATTAGATCATCTGTGCAAACAGACTTATATTCAGGCAACACAAACACAGAGTACTTGGAAAGATATGAGAGGACAAACAAGAAAATTGCTGGCTTCAGGGAGAGATTTTATAAGGTGCTGTTTCTTTCACCCTGATAACCAAGGGCACTCTTAGATTAGTTTTGATCATTCGCTAACACTCTTCAAAAACTGCTTTTGAGAAAAAAAGAGTGCAGGACATGACAACACATCTCTGATTTGCACTTTCTTGGGCCCCCACCAAAGAAATGAAAGGCCCATGTTCCTATACACGTGTGTGTCCTATCAACTTATGACGACTCCAGAGCCCCCGGTGGTGCAATGGGTTAAACCCTTGTGCTGGCAGGATTGCTGATCAAAAGATCAGCGGTTTGAATCTGGGGAGCAGGGTGAGCTCCCATCTGTCAGCTCCAGCTGCTCATGCGGGGACATGAGAGATGCTTCCCACAGGATGATAAAACATCCAGACATCCCCTGGGCAACGTCCTTGCAGACAGCCAATTCTCTCACACCAAAAGTGACTTGCAGTTTCTCAAGTTGCTCCTGACACACACAAAAATGACGACCCCATAGATTTCACAGGGTTTTCACAGGCAAGAAATACTCAGAGGTGTTTTTTGTTAATTCCTTCCTTTGAAGTGTGTTCATTGCTGACAATAATGACCAATACTTCACAAGTCTGTTTAAGGAGCTCCACTGGCTGCCGTTTATTTTTCGCTCCCAATTCAAGGTGCATGTTATCACCTATAAAGCCCTAAACGGTTTGGGACCCGCCTACCTTTGTGACCGCATCTCCCTCCATGAACTATCTCGGGCCCTCCGATCTTCCGGGGAGGCCCTTCTCTCGCCCCTGCCAGTTTCTCAAGCTAGCTTGGTGAGTACAAGGGAGAGAGCCTTTTCCGCTTTGGCTCCCCGACTCTGGAACTCACTGCCTGGAGAAATTAGGAAAGCCCCTTCCCTAGAAATTTTTAAAAAGAACCTTAAAACCTGGCTCTTCTGTTGCACCTTTGATGAGTAGGTATATAATCCCACATGATTGCTCAGCCTCAAAGTTCTGTCATTGGAGTGTACGTCCCCCCTCATGGGAAAGCTTGATTCCTCAACTCCCGCTATAAGGAGCCCTCCTCCGTAAATTACCTGCTTCTCTCTTTTATCTCGCCCGAGTTTTTAATTAGTTTTAATCAGCTTGTCTTTTAATCATTACAAGTAGTCCACCCATTGTTACTGTGCTTGTGTATATTGTAATTTTTATATTGTTATGTATTCACATGTTTTATGTAACTATGATGTTATTGTTTATTGTTCGCGTTTTCAGTTGTGTTTTGGTTTTTTTTATTGTAATTGTCATTTGGGCTTGGCCTCATGTAAGTCGCTCTGAATCCCCATCGGGGAGATGGTGGCGGGGTATAAATAAAGATTATTATTATTATTATCACTCTGTTGTAGAATCCATTATGTACAGGTACAACTGCACCAGGAGCTCCAATTTTGTTTGCTTTGCATTGAATGTTTGTTATAGTCCCAAGTTTCAGGGACTCTGCAGATAGGTGGCTTCTTTTGGCTGCAATCATAGGGCAAGCCACCTGTCAATTATAGTTAGGTTCCCTGGTCCCGCCCCCTTTTTGGGGTTTTGGAGGGAATAGGAGCCTTTTTGGGTCTGTCCACACAGAGAAGCTTTCCATGCAGGATATAATACCAAGAGCTCCTGTAGAAAGCTTCGTCTTCTATGGCTTGGCCGGGGAGATATACAGCCTACAGCTTGGCCGGGGTTATACAGCCCACAGCTTGGCCGAGGATCATACAGCCTTACAGCTCCTTTGTTGAGGGACTTCAGTCAGCCATCACTGAAACCTGAACTCCTTTTTCCCTGGAAGTCTACAAAGCTCTGCTTGGTAAGGGTCACTCGCGGAAGCCAGAAGCAGTTGGTACCGGGTGTAGGGGCTCCACGCCAACAGAGGCAAAGACAGACTGCCCAGATAAGAGGTTAAGGATTTCCCCATTAGTCAAAATACAGTTATGAAGATAGTGCCTGTTCCCTGTGGACAAGATTGAGAGAGAGCCAATAGACTGTTAAGAAAGCCTTAAAGTACCTGTTTGTTTTCATTAATAAAGAACTTTGTTGAACCTTTAAGCAATCTAAAGACTCTGTTTTAAGGAAATCCAAGGGCCTTTAATCTGAGGCAGCCCCGGCGTCCCGTTGGGCACACAGAATTTATGTCCTGTCTACAGTCCTATGCACAGGCCCAGCGTGAGACAGCACACATTACCTTCCAGTTTTGCTCACCTTGTTGTCTTTCCCCACAAATTTGAACACCGGGACTTGGAAATGCTTGGCAAGATGATCCTTCGATGTGAATTGCTTCACAGACTCATCAGACACGCAGCTGAAGAAAGAGATGGATATGTGTTAATGCCTTTGCCAGATGTGATGGAAAAACACAACCACATGCCAGCAAGAAAAGGGCAGGGCGGTTGGCTCTTTGGTCAGTATGCATCGCCATGAGAAGTGGGGCCAGTAGCCTGGCCAGAAATGGAAATAGCCCAAAGTAGCAAAGTCTCTCGTTCTCTGCATACACAAACACACACACGGTCCTCGTGATGGAGATCAAATGTCAGTCAAGTATATTCTCAGTTCACCTTTTTGGATAGAGATATACAACAATATCAACCTTACTAAATCCATCTCAGCATTGTTTCCATATCAGAACTATCAAAGATTTAAATGTCAAAAGCATAGTTGGGAATGCATAACGCAAAGTCTTCCTCTCCCTTCTCTTCCCCGATTTCCAGCACACACACAAAATTACTATAAATTCGAAAAGCCTTCGATTTTCAGAATTGAAATGAGTGGGACTGATTTAAAGAAAATAGAGTGAAAATTGCAAAAACAAAACAAAATATATATGAACTTTTAGACATAATGCTACATGCAGCCATGGATAGTTGTTCCCCTTATTTTTCAGCAACCCATCTTTCCAAAGAGAAAAAGAAAACATCTGGCTTTGTGGTGAAATGCAACACAGCCTAGCACATTTCTCTCCAACAATCTAATCTCAGGAATGTGGACTTTGAATGTTATAAAATGTGGTAAAGTGGAAAAGGCAAGGGAAAAGTCACATGGACTCTTGTGCTCTTCTCTTGGATATGATTATCCTTCAGGCTTGGACTTTTGGAATAAACAGCTTACGAACTGTTTATCCAAGACAGGAGTGGGAAGAAAGGGGTTCCCCATCCCGGCTGATAAATGCAGATCTTCAGCCGTTCATTTTTTCCCCAAATAAAATACAGCCATGTAGAAATAAATTATGTTTCCATTGTCGATTCACCTAGGCAGGGAAAATATATTGCCGTGATTGATGTTTTTTCTGTTATCCAAAGTTTATGTCACAATAAATTTGCTAATGTTGGAGGTGCCACAAGACTTTTACAGCTAGTCTTCAAGAAGGGCTGACCTTTGAATGGGAAAAACAAGCAGTTATTCAAGCATCTGGTAAGAACTGGACTGTTCTGGCTTTATTTATGTTACCTGTTATTCTTATCACCCTACAGATTGTTGGAAATACTGTAGTCCAAAAGGTAACTCACTGAATTACTCATTCAGGTAAAGGTAAAGGTTTACCCCTGACATTAAGTCCAGTCGTGTCATCTCAATTTCTAAGTCGAAGAGTCGGCATTGTCCATACACACCTCCAAGGTCATGTGGCCAGCATGACTGCATGGAGCATGGAGCACCATTACTGCATGGAGCTCAGGCTTGCCAGGGACATTAAAAACAATAAAAAAGGCTTCTTTTCGTATGTCAGTAGAAAAAGGAAAAACAAGGAGGCGATAGGACCTCTTCGAGGAGAAGATGGGGCAATGCTGACAGGGGATAGGGAAAAGGCAGAACTGCTTAATGCCTTCTTTGCCTCGGTCTTCTCACAAAAAGAAAGTCATCTTCAACCTCAGCAAGATGGAGTGGATGAGGGATTAGAGGACATCCAACCCCAAATTGGGAAACAAGTCATCCAGGAATACCTGGCCGCTCTAAATGAGTTCAAGTCCCCAGGGCCAGATCAACTACACCCCAGAGTATTGAAGGAACTAGCGGAAGTCATTTGGGAACCATTGGCAACCATCTTTGAGAGTTCTTGGAGAACGGGAGAAGTTCCAGCAGATTGGAGGAGGGCCAATGTGGTCCCAATCTTCAAGAAGGGAAAAAAGGATGACCCAAACAACTACCGTCCGGTCAGCCTCACGTCAATACCAGGGGAAGATTCTGGAAAAGATTGTTAAGGAAGCGGTCTGCAAACACTTAGAAACAAATGCGGTCATTGCTAATAGTCAACATGGATTTATCAAAAACAAGTCATGCCAGACTAATCTGATCTCTTTTTCGATAGAGTTACAAGCTGGGTAGATGCGGGGAATACCGTGGATGCAGTAGAAAATTCACCAATTCCTGATAGACAATCTACTTTCTTATCTACTTAGTTGAAAGTTCGATTTCTCTTAACAGGCACACTGGTCCAGCTAATGGGGAGAGGCAAAAGAGCAGCCCAACTGCCATAAAATATCCTACAAGGTTATTTTTATGGCTCCGTAGCTTCCTCTCCCATCTTTACAGAATTGATCAGATATTAACCTGCTTTGTTCTAAGAGATGTCAGGTGCATTCACAGCACAGTGTTTAACTTAGATCTTACTCACAAGTAATTTTGTGCAGGATTGTAGGCTACCTTTTTTTACATTAAATCTGTTAGTCACTTGAAGGTTTGGGAAAAAAGTTTTCAAAACTATTTGACACTGGCAATCCAGTGCACGTTGAAGTTTCTCCCACTATATTTAGCCCACATTTTACAGGGCCTAGATGCCCTCTACAGGATAAAGAAGGCAAAAAAAGTGGTTGACTCGTGTCCCGTCACGCCATCAATGTGAGAAATTGATGTGAGAAAATTATGTTAATGCAAGACCTTATAACCTCTGAGGACGCCTGCCACAGATGTGGGTGAAACATCAGGAGAGAATGCTTCTGGAACATGGTCATACAGTCTGGAAAACTCACAGCAACCCAGTGATTCTGACCTTTAAAGCCTTTAACAACACATTGCTTGTTCCGTCTTCCAGGAGCATCATTTGCATTATCTTTAATTGCATGGGATATTGTTCCTTTGCATTTACCCAGAGTTGCTACAATCTTAGCTGCACTCTAAAGTTAACATTATTAGAGGCTGGAAAGCCAGTCTGCAGGCCTCTTTTGCAGCTATTGGTTTAGAAAAGTATCTCTTTGGATCTAGGGACCGCCTTTTCTCCTGGGTTGAGATCTCCATTTTGGAATTTTCCCTGAATCTTTCAGTTGAGAAAGAAAGCTTCAGATGTGCTGTTGGTCAGCAAGTAACTCTGAAAAAAACCATTACAAGAACGATTGAGAACTAGGTAGGAAGATTGAGATAGGATTGAGAAATAGATAGATAGAGAAATTTAGTATTGAGTAATATTGAGCTATATAGAAGCATATTGAGATTTAGATAGAGAAGCTATTGAGTACTATAGAGATAGATAGGTAGAACAGGTATTGAGTTATATATTGAGCATTACTTCATCTCCAAAGCTAACCTTGAGCTATAGATAGGGGAAAAAAACCTGCTTTTTTCTAAACCATAGCAGCTCAGGGTTAGGGTGAAAGATTCCAGAATCTTATCTGCCTTTTGGGGGGAAAGTTGCCTCAGTAACTCAAGGAAAGGAAAGAAAGATCATCTCTATTGCTTCATCAATTGACTGTTTTGTTTGTAACTTTGCCAAGCTGTGCCAAGTCTGCAAGGACTTTGAGAAATAAATATTCTGTTTTGATGTTTAAAGACTGAAGTAGCCTCAATTGCTGAAAATCTCAAGCTTCCAAAGAAAGACCCCAGCGGTCCGCCCAGACAAAGAAAGAAGCGCATCTTAGTTCTATTTTTATAGGGTCTGGGTGTGATGGTGCATTGCTAATACGTTGTTCTTTTTTATGAGCATGAGTATGACCTGACTCCAGAAGGATCTAAGATGGCCCTCCATAGGTATGGATTCTGTATCTACAAATTCAGCCATCCACTGCTGGAAAATATCCCCCCCAGTTTGTGGTACTCTCAGGGACTATTGGAACTATTTATTTATTTATTTATATTTACAGTATTTATATTCCGCCCTTCTCACCCCGCAGGGGACTCAGTGTACACATATATGGCAAACATTCAATGCCAATTTTGACATACAACATATACAGACAGACAGAGGCTATTTAACTTTTTTCTGGCCGCCAGGGGAGCTGTCGCTTTCATCGTCCATCTGCGACACTGATGAAGTACTTCTGCATTCCCCGCATGCTTTTGCTGAAGTCTTTATGGCCTCATAAATCAGTTAATTTAGCCTCCCCACACTTTAAGGTGGTACCTTATTTTCCTACTTGACAGATGCAACTGTCTTTCGGGTTGCAAAGGTCGACAACGGGCTACACAATTGGTTGGAAACCCACTCCAACCCGGGCTGGCTTCGAACTCATGACCTTTTGGTCAGAGTGATCTTAATGCAGCTGACACTCAGCCAGCTGCACCACAATCCCAGTGCTTTCAGATATTTGCATGAGCAGCATAGGTTTCTTGTTGTTAACCATCTTTTTGTTTGACAACAGCAGTAGCAGCAACAGCTACTTGATTGTGTTCTCCTTCATTTGCCCTTACTCTAATTTGTGGGATCTGAGGTTTTCCCAGAAAGCTGACCTCAGAAAGCAGAAGACTGCACCCATGGTTAGATCCATTTTGCTGCCGGAAGCAGCCTTGGCGTTGGAAACAACTATGACATGAATGATCTCCAGATAAGAGAAAACATCATATGAGATACATGCCCTGAAGTTAATGGGGATGAGGTCTGAAAGCAGCTCATTGCAGCTAAACAAAACTCCAGCATATTCTATAAAGAAACACTGTTCAAGTACAAAGGTTCTGTATGCTATTTCTGGCCTTAGGCAAACTACCCACAGATTAAACCATCCACTAAAGATTACACTTGTACTAATTGGTTGAATACAGTCGAATGGAGGGTTACCAGCTGGTCTACGCAGAAGGGCACATGGCCTTAACTACAGACACCAAATTGATTATCAACCATTATATTTACAAGGAGAATGCCCCCTGCAAATGCTGTTATAAGTCATCCCTTTGCTTGCCCAATGGTTCCCTCTGGTTCCTTTTTCATGAAGTGAGTCGTTTTGCTTGGGTAGTCATGACAGCTGGTGATTTTTCTGTCTGGCAATGTATTTTTTCTCTGCCTGCCAAGAGCCATTTGGCCTCTGGGAAGAGCTGGCACTTTCTGTACCCTCCAACACTGTGCTTGAACTTATCCTGAGCAGAAAAAGTGCTTTATTAATGACTTAGATGAAGGGTTAGAAGACATGATCATCATGTTTGCAGATGACACCAAATTGGGAGGGATAGCCAATACTCCAGAGGACAGGAGCAGAATTCTTGACAGATTACAGAGATGGGCCAAAACTAACAAAATGAAGTTCAACAGGGGCAAATGCAAGATACTCCACTTAGGCAGAAAAAACGAAATGCAAAGATACAGAATGGGGGACAATGCCTGGCTCGAGAGCAGTACGTGTGAAAAAGATCTTGGAGTCCTCGTGGACAACAATTTAAACATGAGCCAACAATGTGATGTGGCGGCAAAAAAGCCAATGGGATTTTGGCCTGCATCAATAGGAGCATAGTGTCTAGATTTAAGGAAGTAATGCTACCCCTCTATTCTGCTTTGGTTAGACCACATTTGGAATATTGTGTCCAATTCTGGGCACCACAATTCAAGAGAGATATTGACAAGCTGGAATGTGTCCAGAGGAGGGCGACTAAAATGATCAAGGGTCTGGAGAACAAGCCCTATGAGGAGTGGCTTAAGGAGCTGGGCATGTTTAGCCTGAAGAAGAGAAGGCTGAGAGGAGACATGATAACCATGTATAAAGATGTAGTATGCTAGTCAAGTATCCCTCCCTCTTCAAATCTACAAGGAGACAATCTTTGAAAAAGGAAACATTTAGTATTATATATCCATGTAGATGCTTAACCTGAAATAAGGTTAAACATCTACATGAAATGAGGAGTGGCTTAAAGAGCTGGGCATGTTTAGCCTTAAGAAGAGAAGGCTGAGAGGAGACATGATAACATGTATGACAGTGACAAATGCAAGATATTCCATTTAGGCAAAAAAAAAACATGAAATGCAAAGACACAGAACAGGGGATGCATGGCTTGAGAGCAGTACGTATGAAAAAGATCTTGGAGTCCTCGTGGACAACAAGTTAAACATGAGCCATGTTAAACGTGATGCGGCGGCATAGTGTCTAGATCTAGAGAAGTAATGCTACCCCTCAGTTCTGCCTTGGTTAGATCGCATCTGGAATACTGTGTCCAATTCTGGGCATCACAATTGAAGAGAGATATTGACAAGCTGGATTGATCTTGAAGGAGCTGGGGGTGGTGACGGCCGACAGGGAGCTCTGGCGTGGGCTTGTCCATGAGGTCACGAAGAGTTGGAAATGACTGAACGAATGAACAACAACAACATTGACAAGCTGGAAAGTGTCCAGAGGAGGGCAACTAAAATGATTAAGGATCTGGAGAACAAGCTCTATGAGGAGTGGCTTAGAGCTGGGCATGTTTAGCCTGAAGAAGAGAAGGCTGAGAGGAGACATGATAGCCATGTATAAATACATAAAAAGAAGTCATAGGAAGGAGGGAGCAAGCTTGTTTCCTGTTGCTCTGGAGAGTAGGACGCAGAGCAATGGCTTCAAACTACAAGAAAGGAGATGCCATCTGAACATTAGGAAGAACTTCCTGACTGTGAGAGCTGTTTATAGGTGGAACTCTCTGCCCTGGAGTGTGGTGGAGGCTCCTTCTTTGGAGGCTTTTAAGCAGAGGCTGGGTGGCCATCTGTTAGAGGTGCTTTGAATGCAATTTTCCTGTTTCTTGGCAGGGGGTTGGACTGGGTTGCCCATGAGGTCTCTTCCAACTCTATGATTCTATGATTCTATGAATGCCAGGTTAATGAAAAGAAATGCAGCAAAACTTGCCCGTCTTGAATTAAGTAGTACTTCAGGACCTCATCAGCTTCGGATGTTGGCGTCGCAAAACAGCTCTCCACCAAGGTCTGAAGTCCACTCACATGCACTGAAGGTTCAATCCCAAAATACAAAGAATCTCGGAGTTTAAGAGTGGGGAGTGCATCCCCATAGGATTCTTCAAACCCATTGTCTTTGAATATCTCTAGGGTGAATGGGAAGATGCCCTGGTTGCGGCCCATGATCTCCAGTGGCGAGCTCTTGATGTTGGGGATGTAGCCCTCTGAGATGGTGTAGTGGCGAGGGAATTCACAAGTGATAGGGATCAACAGTTTCCCAGTGCGGACAATGATGTCCCCATTGCTTCCTGGGGTCTGTTTCGGCAAGCCAGTCACCATATTTGTGGCAACAATTTTGTCATTGGCTATCTGTAACCAAAGAGAAGAGAAACTCTTGTGAAATTAAATGAGCAGAGAAATGAAAAACATAAAAAATAACTTGGTTCTAAGCAGGCTTTTGTGAGAATCTATAACAATGCAGGAAAAAAGGTATAATGTGTTGCTTGGATCAGAGTCCAGTTTCTTAGAAATTTTGCTGGTGAAAAAAAATCATATTCCATATATTTGCAAAGATTTGGTTGTAAATGAATGTATCTGATGTATCTTAAGATCTGTAGTGGCTGGCAGGTAGTTCTTTAGAAAAGGGCTCTTATATTTCAGATTTCAGCTGTCAATCTATAGTTATGGAAAGAGAGTAAACTAGTTTTTCTTGAATATCACAGGCATACCTTGCTAATACAGCAGGTTATCGAATATACAGAAGCTAGTTATAAGGGAGAAGCATGGATTTGCTCCACTTCTTCTTCAAGCCATTGAAGGCGGCCAGTTTTTAGGTCACAGAAGTGAGTTGTAAGGGAGAAGCATGGATTTGCTCCGCTTCTTCCTCAAGCCATTAAAGCCAGCCAGTTTTAAAGTCACAGAAGCAAGTTATAAGGGGGAAGCTCAATCATTCAATCATTTCCGACTCACTTCATGAGTCATTAAAAAAATGGCGAAAAAGCTTCAAAATTGCAAAGGACTTCTGGTTTTTCTTAATAACTTCAAAATCGCTTCCAAAAGGAAATCTTTCCGACTTTATTCCGAATAATGAAAGTTCCGACTGGACCTAACCATGCCTACTAGACACAAACCATTTCAGACAGTGAGGAAAGCTATTGCTGTGGCTACGTACGCTGATAGTGGTACCGCAAGATTTCAGGGAGAAAATAATGTTGACATGTGTGCCATTGGATACGCCTTTGCAGGAACCATTGAGAAGCGACAGGTCCATGCCTCCCACCAGATCCTTTGGGATGTTGACCTCTATGGTGGCGGATTTGCAAAGGACTGGGACTGTAAGAAAGAATAAATCTCATTATGAATATTGCATGGCTTTGAGAGGAAACTTAGAGAAAGTAGCTGAGCCCTCCTTTCATGCCTGTATCACCGACAGCAAATGCTTCCCGAAACATGTTCAGCTTGCCCTATGGAAACCTTGCTTTGATCTGCCTACTTGTAGAAGGTGATTATCATTTCCAGCTCTAAATTCAGCTGCTTTTATTCCCAAAAGAGTTGTCTGTCTTCTGTGCAATGACATTTCCACCCCTTGGGGTGTCAGCTCAGCGGTGCTGAGCTTGTATTTATGGGATCCTAGCATGGCATTGGTACTTTTATGATGACTCAGTAATACAGTAGTTGTAGCTCTTACTATTGCTTTAAAATTCTAATCCTTAATATACCAAGGGCCTCCAGACCAGAAAACTCCTGTTGGAGTCTGGTTCCTTACAACAACAACAACAACAACAACAGAACTTTATTTATACACCGCTCTATCTCCCCGAGGGGACTCAGAGTGGTTTCCAAGTAACATCATCAATACATAC